TCCTGAAGATGAGATTGATCCTAGTTTGTAATTTAAGTATTAAGAGATTTTTACGTTTTTGATTCTCAGTGATGTAAGTACGAATAGTGAATTTGATAAAATTTTCTGGTATAATTACTGTTGTTATAGATTTGCCCTTAAAAATAAAGGATTTGTAAGGTAAGAAATTTTTTTATTGTTATGTGATCAAGAACAGATGAATGTCTAACATCATCAATGTTTTTTTTAACCATCAGTATATGAGGTCTGACTGAAAAGTAACGGGACTGATCTCACAAGCAATTTATTTTAAATCCAAGCAACACGTTGTCCTTCAGAATAATCCCCATCGAGTTTATTACACTTTTTTATTCTTCTCTGTTGACCATGTTTGCCGTAGTTTTTGAATATAGAATCCAGTGCAGTACGTAATGTGTTCAATGGAACAACGCCAATATCACTAGTAGCAACTGTTCTGTAATTCTTCAGGTTTTCGATATCAGAGGTTGGCAGTGAATATTCGGAAAAAGTAGCAGCTGTTCAGTAATTCTTCAGGTCTTCGATTCAGAGGCTGGCAACTAATATTCGGAAAAAATGGCCGCCTATATACACGTCGCATTAAATATTCTGAGCCTTCTGATTGGTTAACCCTTCTAATTGGTGAACTATAAAATTTGGCTAGCTCACTAGTACACAAAGTACCCAAAAATTCTAACATTCTCTGCTACACCTTTCTACACTGCTGGAAGACTTCTATTTGGATGCCCTTCAGCTCCTTCGTTACGGCCCCTTTGATAGCCCCCAAGCCTTCAAAACGGGTAGCCTTGATGAAAAATCACACGGAGCAAGATCAGGTGAATAGCGATGTTATCCCAGTACGGCTATGTTTTTCCCGGACAGGGCCTTGGGAACAGGTGTATTGTCGTGGTGAAGTAGCCATGCTTTTCTCTGTCAAAAGTCTCGTATCTTCTCGCGCTCTAAGCGAAGCAAACGGCACAGGATCTCTTTACAGACATTGATGATTGATCATCTGACTCTGTGGCAAGAACTCACTGTGGACAATACTCATAGATCACACAGCACACCTAGTCCTATTACTTTTCAGACAGAGCCCATTAGTATAACTTAAAGTTTGAGTACTCCTGTAAAATATTGCCAAGGTTTTCTAAAAATTGTAGATGGGCTGTTATTAGTTTTAGGGTGTTTGACAAGGTATTTTTTTTTTAGTAAAGGTGAGTTTTCCAGTGTAGTAGATACAACGGTTATGTTAGTGTCCATTTGTAATTAATTAATAATAATTTCTCTGTAACGGTCGAAGGTTTGATGTCTGTTTATTTTAAAAGAGATCTTCATATTGTGGTTGGGAAAAACTGTTAAATTCAGTCATTCAGAAAATATAGTATTGTAGGATTAATTCCTGTCATCTTAGTGTCACGGGCATTTAGCGGGTTTTAGTTTATAGTCTTTCCGCAGCAGATGATGTAAAAGCTCTCCTAAGATAAGTCATAATCCAGGATGAAGAATTGTATCAAGCTGTTTCAGGCATGACTTCCTTGCAGCACTATAAATGAAACAATCATAGTCAAATTTGGATCTAACTAGTGATCAATATAATTTTGAAAGAGTCAGTCTATCACCATCCCGGTATGTGTAGTCAATGATTCGATTGCTTTATTGAATTTAGCTGGGAAAGCATTTAATGTGGAATATAAAAGATAACGTGCTGTCAAAGATAATACCCAAGAATTTATATTGGTCCACTACATGAATATTCCAACCATCGTGTTTTAAATTAGTGTTCTCGTGTAGCTCTTGGAGTTGACAGAAATGTACACATTGAGTTTTTGTTTTGACAATCTGAATCCATTTACTGCAGCAAATTTATTAATTTTATTGAGGTATTGTTGGAATTGGTGCTCGTTTGTGTGGATATTTTTCGATCTATAGCTGATCAATAAAACATCGACATATAATTGTTATCGGACCTTACCCATAATAACATAATGGACTATTCCATACGTAATAAATACTGCGCCTCAAGAGGAAGCAGGGAGTTCAGCCCGAAGTCGGGCGACCGGCTGATCGGCTGATCGGCTGATCGGCTGATTCCTTTTTGCATATTCTTGTTCTCATTCTTTTGCCGTTTTAACTATTCTTATTCTTATTTTTTCCATTCAAATTCGGGGTTTTTTTTTCATTTGCTTCTTCGCATTTTTTCCCTTCCAATATTCTTAGCACTTATTCTTTTCTTCTCAAATTCATTTTATTTCTATGTTCTTATTCTTATTTTGCACCAACTTCCAACTTCCGTTCTGGTATATCTTATAGTTTTTTTTTCTTCCTTATATTTATTTATCATTTTCCATGAGAATCCTATAACGTTTTTCTTTCATTTCTTCTTCTATATTTAGAATAATTAATTGGTTTACGTATACAAAACTCTCTGACTTCGGGCGAGGAGTAACCCGAACGAAGCTACGCCGAAGGGCGGAGTCTCTTTCGGGGAGGTAAACCGACCCTGAACCCATTTATACAGGTTCAAAGGGCATATTTTTGGCTGAGCCCACGGGCTCGGAGATCCCACGTTAAACCGGCCTTGTGCCACGTGATACCCTCATGGGTGGGGGTGACTAAATACTGTTCAGTCTGAAGTCTGGAGTGAGGTCCGTCAGGAGTCTATCAGTCAGTCAGTCAGAGCGAGGGAGTCAGTCAGTCGAGTCAGAGGCATTCCGAAACAGAATCGCGTTTCAGACAATAACTACAAGACATTGGAATAGTGATACTGGTCGAGACTACATTGTTCTCCCTACTAAACCTGATTGTTCGTACTAACACTTTCTACTTCTCTGTATATATTCCTGTTTGTAATATATCTGTGTTATTCCATATCCGTATTCGAGTTCTTCTTTATTGGTTCTACCTTGGACTATCACCGTGGTATAAGGACCTGGACCATAACAATAATGAACAGTCAATTCCTGGATTCATGCATTTAGCGATATCTTTTTTAATATTAAAGAGGGTAACTGATAGGGTATTCCTTTGTTGTACATCCATGTCTGGATCATGAACGAGATCAGATTTAGTTTTGATATGATCCAGATATGGCCCGTATTGGCTGTCTTTCTTGCCTTGTCAGGATTAAGGAAACTCGATATATTTGTAAAATAAGTCAGAATAATCCAGAATGGGTGAAAACCGCCTTCATACGGATATAAAATAAATTGAGTAGCTATACAAAAATAGAAAGGAGCCTGAGACAAGGGTGCGTCTTCTCTCCAGATTTCTTGGAGAGAGAGAGAGAGAGAGAGAGAGAGAGAGAGAGAGTGTGTGTGTGTGTGTGTGTGTGTGTGTTTTGTGTGTGTGTGTGTGTGTGTGTGATCCAATCCTTTTACTCGTTAATATCTACCAGTTTCGGGTTACATGTGTTCGCTAAGTGATTAACGTTCACATTGAAAAATATTTATGGCGAGAAATTGCCTTTTTAGAAGGAAAGCTTTCGGTTATTAATTTACGGCCGAAGGAAAAGCATTTATCAGCCACATGTTACATCCTTCATATTTTTTCCTATTTACGATGACCGGGTCAAAGCCAATTCCCCGACAATCGCTACCGTCAAATATTTCTATCAAATATATCATATTTCATAAATACGATATATTTCCAACAAAATATATGCCTGTTTTGGGGTTGGTTGGTTGTTTTTGTTTAGCGGCACATCAACACCTCTATGGGTTATTTAATGCCGGAATCTAAATATTTTGAACACAAATTTTTGGCTTCAACTAAATATATTTTGAACAGAATTGTATGCCTAAAACTATATATAAAATGTACTGTTGGTGATTTTACTATAAAATGTATTGTTGTCAATTCTACTATAAAATGAATTGCTGGTAATTTTGTTTTAATTATTGATGGTAATTTTTCTATAATTATATATTGTTGCTATTTTTTTTAATATAAAAATGTATTTTTATACTTTCAAAATATTTTGTATTTGTCCAGGGGGTTAATTATTTTCCCCTAGCTGGGGCCCTAATTCTGTCGAGGTCAAAGTCGAGCTGGGAAGAGCAGCAATTAAGAGGTGGTTTTATGCTTCTGAAAAATCTCCAATCTCCCGATAAGAGGACTTGCTGTCGGTGGTAGTCTATCGTTATAACCAGGACTAGCTTGTTTTTTTTTTTTGTTTTTTTTTAGTTCTGTTATATATTGCCCTTGGCAAGAGAATCTAGCGGGCGTTAGCAGAAGTTCTTTGACAGACAAGAAGTAGTACAACATGTCCGCTTCTACCACATATCCGAGTCTCAAGAAAAATAGATGGCCTCGGCTTATAACAGCAAGATATTGTTTCATTTTTATCTTGAGCCATCGATAGATAGATTGGGATACAGAGGAAATGGAATAGACGAATAAAGAAAGAAAGAACAAGAGAAAGAACATCACTATACATGTACCTACTTCATGTGTGATTCTTTGTGTGATTTCCATTGAGTTTATGAATGATCATCGCGACAAATGGTGATCCCCAAACGCATTCTGTTTTCGGCCATTTCATCGTTCCGTTATTTTCACGTCAAAGTAACATAAGTTTCTCGTGTCTTGAAATCTGTACCGTCGAATGTTATTAAAAAAAGATATCAGGGATTTTAATGGCGAACTTCGTAGATATCGGAGCCATAAATTTGTATGGAAAACCTAAACTGACATAATCTTCGTTGAAGGAGTGTAAATCAAAGTTTGTTCAGTTTTAATTAATCTTTGACAGGGGAATCTCGATAAAACTAGAGTCTATATCCCATCGCACCCAAATACATTCAAGGAACTAATTTTCATTTATTTTCTCTAAATTTTATTCAGATTAAAACTTAAAAAAATTCTGCTAGCCTTTCAGGAAGAGTTATCCGGCATTATCCATTTTCTTGTGCCACAGTTTCGCTCTTCTTGAAGTACTCGGATATTGATCGTGTTAAAATCTTTTACAGCTAACGGTCAAATGTATGCAGATCATTGGGAAGTCTATGCTGGAAAATGATTATAGCATTAAGTCGCTTTACTCTTGCTATGACAACCATTCTTATCTGCTTAAAGCTAGAATCAAGCAATCTCGTAGGACGAGCGAATTTGTTCTTTCTTTGCTTCTTTCTTTGCTTCTTTCTTTGCTTCTTTCTTTGCTTTCGTTTTTCTTTTTGATTTCTTTCTTTCATTTTAAGACTTTAGCACGTTTCCTCCACTCATTCTCTTATTTTATTTTCTGAATAATTTTCTTACGCCATTTCAGCAATCCTTTCTTCTTTCCTTTGTTAATTTGTTTGTTTCTTTCTTTTTCGTATAAGTGTTCCTTTCCCTTTCCTTCTTTTTCTAGGTCTGTCTTTTCTTTCATTATCCTTTCTTTTGCTTCTTTTGTTATAATTTATAAGTATCCGCTTGTAATTTTCTTACTTTCGTTCTTTCTTTCTTTGTCTATTAAATTTCTTCTGTGTCCCTATTTATCTATCTGTCTGTCAGTCGGTATGTGTATAGCGATGTTCTTTCTTTCTTTCTTTCTTTCTTTCTTTGTCTATTAAATTTCGTTTCTGTGTCTATTAAATTTCGTTTTAGCATCTATCTATCTATCTATCTATCTATCAGTCGGTTTGTGTATCGTGTTGTTCTTTCTTTCTTTCTTTCTTTCTTTCTTTTTTCTTTGTCTATTAAATTTAACGATAGGTATGTGTGTCGTGATGTCCTTCCTTCCTTCCGTCTTTCCTTTCTTTCTTCTATTAAATTTCTTGGTGTCTATGTATATCGCGATATTCTTTCTTTCATTAGTTCTTTCATTTTTTCTTTCTTTATTTGTCTATTAAATTTCGTCTGCATTCCAATGTATCTATCTATCTTCTATCTATCTTCTCCTTTTCTATCTATCTATCTATCTATCTATCTATCTATCTCCTTTTCAATGTGTGTAATATTTCTCTGTTTCTATCTATCTATCTATCTATCTATCTATCTATTACGGCTGACAATAAAAATGAAATCGGGAAATCTTTTCCTTGTATAACAATCATTACGAATATTTTATATTAATTTAGATCCAAACTGCTTAAAAATAAAAGCTTGGCAATTGTATTTAGCCGAATGAATGATATTTCAGTATATCAATGCGTGAAGGGTAAATCGAGTTTGCCAGTACTGTAAATCCAACCGTTTATCTAAGCTAGTGCAGACGAAGTCATAGATGCATATTAGCGAGGACGCTCTTTCTCCGTCATATGACGGTGATAGCGTTGGTGTCTGAAAACGATAGGTGACATTTCTGTCGTGACATGAAACTGCAGGGCAGGGAAAATTATCGAACGGAATCGTTTGACAAATGGGAAACTGGTGAAATTTCCGGAATAATCAAGAGACAGCTGGGGCGGTGACAAAGATTTAATACACTGAGAAGCATATAAGAAGCATCAAACAGTTGACACTTTCACATGAAACTAATCAGGCATGTATACGTTCTTCTTTGTTTTCCATTCATCAAACTAAGCTGATCTCTCGAACTGAATGCGCTTTCCGTGGACCTGCTTATTTCTATTTGTCATAAAGTTAACTTGAAAAATAAATATATATATATATATATATATATATATATATATATATATATATATATATATATATATATATCTTGTCTGTCATAATTTTTCTTGTCACACACACACGGACATGCTTTGGTTTGGTTTGTTTTTTTTTTTATGGCATATCAACCACAATGGGTTATTTAATGCCACCAATTTTTTTTTGCTGCCAATATTTTGTTTTGTCAGAAATCTTTTTTTGGTAATATTTTCCTTCAAATATGTGTTGCTGGCAATAATTTTTTTTCAAAAAGTATTGCCTGCAATATTTTTTTTTTCTTAAAAATGTATAGATGGTAATATTTTTTTCAAAATACTCTTTTCTTCAAAAATTTATTGCTGGTAATATTTATTTACAAAGTATTTCTGGTCTTAAAACCTATATTTACACTTACATAGTTTTTTCCCCAGTTTCGGGGTTAACTATTTGCCCATATCTGGGACCCTAACAAGTGCTACCACCCCGGGTCAGGGTGGACCTGGGAACATCAGGAATTAAGAGTTGGTTCCACGCTCCTAAAAACCTCCTGATCAGAGGCCTTGCTATTGGACGTAGTTTATCGTCTTACCCAGGACGCGGATGTAGTTTATCGTCATACCCAGGACAGACACGGATATATATATATATATATATATATATATATATATATATATATATATATATATATATTTAAGATTTAAGAAAGAAACAGAAGATATTTTTTATATATAGTGCTCAATATTAAAAATATTAAAATAATATTAAAAATAGAGTGTTAATAATATTACATGAAAAGAATACTTAACTTTTAAATATAAATTTTATCCCGACTTGGAAGTTTCTAGATAAAATTTACAGTATTCAAGGGGTTCTGGTTTGAAACGATATTTCGAATTTACATAAACTGAAAAAAAAAACAAAAAAAAACTGGAAATATCGTTTAAAAACAGACCCCCCCTAAGTCAGGATGAGATTGATATTTAAAAGTTGAGCAATCTTATATATATATATATATATATATATATATATATATATTATCCATCACCGTTAGAACGACTCGGAGTTTCATGCGCAACGCAGTGTTCAGGTGCTGAGTATAGTCTGATTGTTACATAATTTAGATTTTAGTAAAAATATCTGGTTTGGTAAAAAATTTATCAGTTTCTTTCTGAATCGGTCTCTATTTTTTTTACATTTACACAAATCCCGTTTATTTTGAATGTCAAATATATTTTTTAAATAAAAAAAAATGTAATCATCGTATAATATATAACTGCGCCAACATTGCCATAACAAGATAGATTTTATTTAGATTAGAATTACGTAATGGTCAGTTTTTACTCAGCACCTGAAGATTGTCTAAATGCTCAGTATATTCGAGTGCTTTCATCTATTCTTTTAGCCATTATCGAAGATGATTTTTATTTTATTTTTAACTGAATGTATGGATTTTTTATGTATGTATCTAGAGTTATAGGGCTGTTTTATCTTCCAAAAACGATCAGCATCTTGTGGCCGTGTTCATAGTTGGTGTCATTGAATATTGGCTTTTTCCTTTTTATCATAAGTCCTTTTATTATTTTTAGTCTTTTTTTATATGTGGATAAGGCTGGTATCTACAAGTATCTTGCGGATGGACTTTGGTAGGTTTCCGTACGAGTTTAAATGGATACTAATTGAGTCAGAACATTCGGACAATGCTTACACACTTTATGTCCAGAAAAGAGAAAAATTATACGAACTCAAGTAAAATGAAATAAAAATTCAATCGCATACCTTGTCAGGGTAATGAAACTTGCATAAGGGACACACACACACACACACATATATTTGAAGATGAACATGTTAATGATTCTGACAGCCCCATTCTTGCTGACCTGTAACTTTGCTTGAATGTACAGCCCATGACAAAAATTACGGAAACAGCATTCTGAAGATATTCATCAGGTTTTTTTTAATAAAAACAGAAAAAGTTAGCATATATGACATGAAAAACAATATTTCATTTGCAAATATGCTTCAAACAAAGTAAATGCTATTATCGAATATAATATCAATTCTGCTGGTCCTTAGATAGTTAGTTATTTAATTAGGACTTATGTTATGCTCGGCCAAGATCTCATATATATTAGCATATTCTGTCTTGAGTTTGAGGAAATACGGAAAAGAAATATCAGATACGCCGTTTGATTTCCTTGATAGGAAAGAAAGAAAATACCAAAGAACAGGTAGTTAGAGGAGGGTATTACGCTGCCATGTATTTAACAATTGCTTCAGTAAAATGGGAAAAATCATGTCAATTTCAAATCGTTTCGTTTATAAACTCTTATATCTTTAACTAATGATTTTCATTCACGCATATATTATTGCAATATTTGGTTAAAGTTCAAATAATTAACGATGTACTCGGATATTTTATAAAATTGTTAGAAAGTTTCTGTACAAAAACTTATTTTATAGACTAAAATGAGAACTGGAAAACGGCAACTAATATATAATATAGTGATATTTATTTATAATATATGAATTTTTACAGAGAAGAATTAAAACATTGTTACTTACAAACGGATTTTCAGTGTTTTTTCTTACAAAAATAATTAGTTGTTTTCTTTTTTTTAAACTTTTTTTTTATTTTAACCGATTTCGCTTAGCTTTTCAAAAAGTTTTTTTTAAGTATTTCTATCTCCACATGTAAATGCTTATGTTTTGTATCAATGAAAAAATGAAATTCAAAGTGCGTAAGTGGCTATATATGGTGTATATGGTAAGGGGAATTTGGTAGAATCCATTTATGCAATGAATTAAGTATGGGTTTGAATTTGTTGAAAAATATTTCCTTATTAATCCGCCTTTGTTCAGTGGTTCTGTAGTCGCATTGGTAGAATCGGAAGATATTAAAATTTGGCAGATTTTATCTCCGCATTCCACTATATGTTGGCTAAGGGGTATTTTTCTGGTGTGCGGGTCCATAATCTGTTGGCGATTGACTGTCATCTTTTGCCGGAGTGACTGACAGGTTTGGCCAATGTAATGCTCGTGGCAACTTTTGCATGTAATTATGCATATTAAATGCCTGAGTCGCACGAGAAATCATTTTTTTTAATTTTTAATTTTGATCCATCTTTGGCTCTCTAATAGGTAGTTGCATACCCCGCGAAGTGGTCGGTTGCATATATATATATATATATATATATATATATATATATATAGTTTATGAAAAACTAGGTAATCCGTATGGGTAAACTCAAGCAGGATAAAATCCAGAGAGCTCAATGTAAATCCAGAGCAAATAATTTAAATATATATATATATATATATATATATATATATATATATATATATATATATATATATATATATATGTGTGTATACACACACACACACACATATATATATATATATATATATATAAAGAGAGAGAGAGAGAGATTTAGAGAGATTTAGAGAGAGAGAGGGGAGAGAGAAAGAAATGAATATATGACAAATAAGCAAAATAATTTAAGCATAAGACAATGTTTCATATATGACATAGTGCAAAGAAAGCCTCCAAAATTCTGGAGGCTGTTGTAATGAAAGAGAGAGAATCAAGAAAAAAACAAAGAGTGTTGGAGGGATTGAGTGATACGTAGAGAAAAATAATATTTTTGCTGCTTGCTTTCTAGCCATATTATTGCTCTCAACATATTTTCTCCTGGGGTGTTAATATTTTTACTGCAACGTGCGGCTAAGATCAACGACTTTCCTATTCACAGAGTCGGACAGATCTAGATGAGAAATGGGTATTTAGTTAATTTCCGAGTTTCTTTCCCAGCAGATTTCGTACGGTTATTCGGTACTGAAGAGACTCGAATGTCACATCAAAAGTTATATATATATATATATTTTTTTTACTGCTTTTTGAAATGATTTATTTCATGGAAAGTATTCTTGATGCCTTTTTAAGTCCCGGATTAAGTCAATGACCACGACCAATAATTTTCTTCTTGACCAGTTCCCACATGGAGCGAAAAGGAGTAACAGTCAAAATTTATTGTCAGCAATTCGTAAGGTAAAGTTTTCATCGATTTATCCATTTCAATACTTTAGAATTTAATTTTAAATATTTCAAATTATTCTTAAAAATTACGTCAAGAAGTAAGCTAGCACCTTATTTGTTTGTTAGAATAAAGCATCGATTCATTTAAAAAGATTGTTTGCGTATCCACAAAGATTCACTAAAAATCTACATATAAAATTCAGTGACTTTTGTTTGTCCGTTCGTTCGTTCGTCATATCCTCTAAAATAGACATACATTGACAAATCAAAATCAATTTTGGGGGTGACGTGCAAACAGGTAAGTGGGTACAAAGTACAGTTGGCTTTACCAGGATGCGTAGCTTACTACAATAAATTTTCATTCATGTTTTGGAAAAATTAAAATTATTATTTAACATGCAAAATACTTTCATTTAATG